GGAGTTGGGGGTTCAGCTTCCACAAGTATCTGATAAAGGTTTTCTTCTCGTCAAAGCTGCTAGCGGTCCACTGGTAAAACTTATCGAACTGCAGATCGAAATCCAGGCTTGCCTAGATGTCAGCAATTAATTGCTACATCAATTAGATGCCACGTCCCACACCACACACACTCAGCAGGCGATTCCTCTAGTTAACGGCCAAGTGGGTAGGATTTGAGAGGTATGTTCATGGCACTTGGCAAAATATCATAGGCATGGTAAAAGCACTGAAAAACAAGGACTGAACATCCTGGAGGTATCTTCTAGTCCTAGCTCCTCAGGAACCAAAGCAGTTTGGAAGACTTGGTGGAGCCAGGGTCACCTGTGAGCAGGAAGCTCAGGCAGGATGAAAGCACGTCTTTCCTTGTGTACAGGATAACGTAAGACGGTGCGGTATCAATTCAGTTCTACCCATAGGATCAAGACGTCCTGCAAACCTGCAGCGGTGATTTTCTTTTCAGACACGCTGTGCAGATGTACTTTATTTGTCCTGGATGTAGAACTGGAAAGCTGTTCTTTTTCTCATTTATTTCTATGCTTGTGAAAACCCAGGCACCTTGCCAAAGCCCCTGGAACATTCACATTAATAAAACAAACTAATTATAACAACTTTAATGACATTCTGCCAGCCCCAGCAGCAGAAAGGGAGTATCTATCTCGTCCGTGCTTTCTTTCCCCAAAAACCTGAATGTCACCCTAAAAGCGCAGACTCGCACTGACTCCAGCTCTCTATAATCCCTCTTTCAGTAAATGCCTCCATTTAATCTTTAAATACCCTATGCAAATGTCTATCAAGAAGCTTTGTCAACATGGATCGACAGATGGGCCTGGCGATGTGTTCTGCAAAAGCTGGAGACCTGACAAAAGCAGTGTTTTGCAGCCCAGCTCCCCAGCCTCTGAGGGTTGCTGCAAAGAGCTTCAGGAGGTCCTCTGCGGAGGAGAGGAGGAGGAGGAAGGAAGAGACTTTGCCCACTGATTTTGTTGGAAGCGGTGTCCATGCAGCCGTCACCCACTCACGGCTCACCTTGCTCGGGTATTTGCCAGGCCTGACGTTTGCTAACTTAGAACCGAGGAGGGAGGAAATCACTCCAGCCTCAGCATCCTGGGCACAGGCATCTCCCCGGAAGAGATGAGGGAAACAGGAAGTCCAAAAGCACTGATGTGGGATGGAGGAACCATCCAGGGAGGGACCTCCGTTCACCGTACTCTGGGAAACAGCTCTGAGGGAAGGCAGAGGGCTTTTACATTTTTTTTAATGGTGGTTGTTTCCTCAAAATTAGCGTCATTCAGGCTGGTTCAGTCCTGTATTAGAAGTCACACACACTCCACTGCTCTTCCTACCATCTAAACATACGAGTTGAGCTCCAGAGGACCCGAATCCCCCTATAGATCCTGGCCTGTGTCTCTCTAGCTTCATATTCATATCTCTCCCCCATGATCAGTTCTGCCCTTTGCCACAGAAGGAAAACCAGTCCTACCTGATTGAGAGTCTTGGCTTCTACCAGCTTCAGCTCTGCCAAAGGCCACTTGTAGGCTATCTTGTGCTGCTCTCCTCAGTCTACCTGGACCTTCACCAGCAACGACTGCATTGGCCTAAAGGTGTCCACTGAGGACGAGAGACAGGAAAAAAAAAAAACAGCCCACAATATCATTGTTAGCCTAGTACACAAGAGTTCGGTGCGAGTGGACAGGTACAGATGGACACACAGACGCTGATTTCGCGTTGTGGCTCTATGGAGAGATGCTACAGGGTTTCTACGAGCTTTTCTCTTCGTTGAGTATTTACATAGGGGAAGTGCGCTCCAGGGTGTAATCCGGAGTACTGTGAAGTCAGTGGAGGGATTCCCAAGAACTTCAATGAGTTTTAAACCAGGCCATTGTGCTCTACACAAGGCACAAACAATATTTCAGCAAGACCCAAACGCGACAGGAACAGGGCACTCTAGCGCAATAAGATTTATGATAGTTACATGCCACATTGCCGGCCCCACAACGGCCTCTGAGAGCGCTGCATTGTTGGACTGATACCCACACTAACACATCCCATCAAAAATCAATTCCAGTGCCAATTAGCTTACAGTCACCTCTTGGTTCGTCTGGGAGGCACTCACTGTACATCGTTCAGGCTATTAGAATTTAGATCTCCCATATGAGCTAGATATCTCCAGAAAGTGGACATGGACGGTTCCAGGGGTAACTTGTGTATTTTAGGTGCTACTTATAGGGTGGCTACATCATTCCTTGGAGATATTCCTCCTGCCTTCCATTGACTACAGAGGGAGTGGAAGCATATCCTTTACGTCAAACGCTATGGCTAAGGCTGCCAGAAATTAATCCTGTAGTAGGTGACTACGCTGTCTAGCAGTTCATTGGCAGGCAAGTCTGTAAAAAAAAAAATCTCTGCTAACAACTTCTCAGGAATGATGGTGCAACTAGAAAAGCGTAGACCGAAGGAGATGAAAAATTTCCCAAAGCACTTGCACCTCTGGATCCTAATCAAATAGCTACGTACTCCTGAAATGTCTGGGTACTCTTAAAACTTCCACCAAAACTACGGAGAGACAGGATGAGGCTGTAACGCTCGCTGTGTCATGTTAGAATGGTTTGTTGCTGACCTCTAATGACAGATTTGATGCAAATGGTAGAAAAAAATAATTTTACGTTGGCGGAGGGAGCAACCCTGCAGACCCCAGTGCTCTCTAGCCAGCTAAAGATAGTCCGACATTCAAGAGGGAACTTGTGTGCTTGTTGCCGGTTCTTGACATCCTGTACTGACGTGGCGCATCTTCAGATGAAGACGTCCTCCATTTAATCTTAAATTAAATTTGCTTGCGCAGCACCGCATGTGAAACACCAACAGGCTGGAGAGACGGTCCCTACGCGAGCTCCGGGCGCACCAGGAAAATGCACTCCCACCACGCTGGTTGCGTCCCCGTTGCCTCGCAGACAGCACGAGCATTAAGTAACGGTTGCAGGCGTGAGGCCAGAAGGGCCTTTTATGACCAGCTGCTCTGAATTCCTGCCCAATGCAAGCAGGACACACCAGTTGCATCCAGCCCAATAAGGCCACGATAAAACTCTCTGAATTTCTTCCAAAAAAACCCCGCTCTTTTTGGTTCCAACCCAGCATAGTGTCTTGAGCACTGAATCAGTATTGATTCGTACTCAAGTACTGATTGACAGCACTTGAGACCTGAATCAGTATTCGGGTCAACCCAACGCCAGAAGGGAAGGATTTGTTTAAAACACCTGAGCAGCATTTAGCCAGAACGCTAAAACAGCTTTTTTTTTTTTTTTGATCCACAATATTCTTAATGGAGAGTTCTCACACGGCTTCCTAGTCAGAGCTAAGGCTCATGGGGATATATTCCCGCTGTCAAGCAAGCCCAGGACTGTCTGGGAGGAAATGGCAGCTCATGTCCTGGATGTCACGTAAAAACACGCAAACGCGACCGGCAGTTGTCTCTCAGCCTCTGATCTGGGCGGTGAGGCCATCGGCAAAGTGGCTCCAACTAGAAGGTTGCATTTAATACAAATATTTTAGTAAGAATTAAGCGTAAACAAAAAATATAGGCTGTAGGAAAATAATGACATTTAGAACACGCGCTTGGAACGTTTTCTAAGAGAAATTCACTGTTTTTGAAATCTACCGGTTGCTCTGCAATGAGCCGGAAAAAGTGAAGCCTTGAACAGGTCCCTCCCCATCGTGACGGGGCTCTCAGCTCAGCCACGTCGCTGACGAGCTTGAAATCACATCCACGATTATTTAAACTTTCTCTACCATGGCTGTGACAAAAAAAAAAAAAAAAAAAAAAAAGACCCAATAGCAGCACTTGAGCGAGAGGAAAATGGTGGAAAGCCGAAGTAGCAGAGGGCTGGCTGCTCCCTGGTGAGCTGATGCGGAAAGCGCAATACCTGCCGCGAAAGCAATCGAAAAGCCGCCCGTAGCGGAGCCAGCTAACCCCCCCTCCCCGCTTTCTAGACACATCCCGTAAGGCTTAAAGACCCCGGCGAAACCTTCCTGAAACGTCCACAGAGGTGCACATCACCCACCCAGGCAGGAGGAGGATGCCTTAGCCAAGGGAAGAAGGAGCGCGTTAGCCAA